AAGAGAGGAGCAGTGGTTTGAAAGTTACATCACCCAGCTGCTGATGGGGCCTTAAGTATAGTGACCTCTTTGTCACAGAGTTTTAATACAGGCAAAGCACTTGGCCTCCTTCTGATTCAAATCACACAAACTACCTATATTCAACTTACAGGGGTGTCACATGCAAAACAGTGTAAATCAAGAGGTACATAGATGCTACAGTAAGAGACATCATCTTGAATAAAGGACAGACCCACGACAACATGAGCCAAATGCGGACAGCTCCACTGCCCACTTCTGCTTTGGTACCCTTCCACATATTGCCAAGCCTCACCCTAGAGGAGACAGCAGAAAAACCTGTACAGGACAAGAGTTTGAGACAGAACACTGTTGACAAAAGTCATCCCACCAGAAAAAGCACGCAAAGACATTTATAGTTCAAAACCAGCTTTTCTGCATGAGCCTTCTGTTTGATAAAATCACTGCTTTGATAGTGAATTAAAATATATAGTGTATGTGAAAAAGCTATGATATTTTCTTAGCTTCTACTAAGTTCTCAGTATGTACTTACAGCAAGAGCCCCTGAATCAACACTGTGCATTCCCCATCTGAAGACGGCTAGAGTGCTATGGCTTTATCCCCCAAAAGCCTTCTAAAAGTTATTCTTTACCGCAATGCAGAACTAAAGCTTTTTTCTCCAGGCAACTCTCTGAAGGACAGCAGGATCTGACCTTACTGCATACTCTCTAGAACACATCTTGCTTTTGGTATAAAGTGTCACAGAATTTTCAGTCTACCAAATATGGGTGGTTTTCTTCATCCCTGCTAACTATTGCGTACCTATACTCTAAAACAAATCCACAAACTGCAGAAACAAGAGTCCTGCCTGATTATTTATCATCCTACTTATGCAGCACCATCCCTACACAAGAGTCACCTAACAAATGAATGATAAAAACACAAACAAATGAAAAATGGATGAGCTCCAAGGTTCCTTTAGGAAGGCTTAATTTCTCATCTTTGCTGAAGACAACTTCTGTTCTTCACAGCATTTAAAGAAAAAGAGCAGACAACTTCAAAATCCAATGGCTTCTCTGGTATCTGCACACCACAGACCTCGGCAAGAAAGTCCTTTCTCACCCCATGTTTGGTATTTCAGCTGGCTACAATGAGGATTTCTTGTGTAGAACAAATAAGGAACAGGAAGAAAGTCCTATCAATAACCAGGCTCTGTAAGCAGTATTTCAGCCTGGGGGATGCTTGATTTGAAACATTCTCCTTTTTGACCTCTCTCACCACTCCCCCCCCCTTACATCTGAACTCTGAATGCAGTGAGGCCAGTACTCTCAAAGCCACAGCTTGAGCCAAGCACTGGGGAAATAAGCACAGGAAGGGCAAGCCTCTTCCCCCACAGAGGCTCTCTCACCTATCTTCTGAGGTTCTTGAACCCAGAAAACAGCTCCAGCAGCCTCACTCAGCTCCACTAGCCCCAGTCCATTGCACAGCAGTCCCTTCTGCATACTGAAAATACCACCTGTCAAATTTTGGGACAAAAGAGTTTTCTGGTTTTTACCTCTATCTCAAATACACAGCTAACAAGCAGAATTATTTTTCTTTCCTAGCTCTCAAAATCAGCACTAAAACTGTTGATTAAATTCCAGGCTTTGAATATTTACTGCCCAGGATCACAAAACAAGAAAGAACAGAATTCAACTCTCAGCTCCTATGGGCAGTGCGGAGTGATTAACATTTACTTGAAAAAAAAAAAAAAAAAAATCTGTTTACTTGTAACCTAAACAGATTTTCTCCAAAGTCCCTGAGATTTGGCAGGCATGAAATCTGATAGGACCCTTTTTTATGAGGCAGATTCACAAGTGGCCCCTAAATACTCACAGTAAGAGCTGGATTCAATTCACAAGTATCACATTGCAAATACAAAACTTTGGCACAGGGTTGGTGCAAAAAATGACCAGAGAAAAATTTAAAAAGCACAGAAAGAGGAATCTAAATTTCTCTCTAGCTGTTGCAATCCTCTCAAGAAGCCTGAAATAGAAAAACAATTACAAGAAAAAACTACAGAAGTGCGATTTGAGGCAGGTGGGCACAATTCACACACACATTTGAGGCAAGCCTGTAAAACTTCTACCTAAAAAGGGGAATTTAGAAGTTTTTTGTGAAATATTCAGTAAAACAATGATTTTGCCAGGGATGAAGGCAACATATTTGATCATCTTTGCATGTTTTATTTCTCTGCTCTTCATATTCACATGAGTTAAGTGAAAAAAAGATCAAACCCACTGTTGATCTTTTTGTCAAAAAAGCATCTAGCGATGTAGTGGTAACACAGGAAACAATAAACAGACTGTAGGGTTTCTGCTGACTTAAGTTTAATAAAAGAGCTGATCCTTCCTGAAAAAAATCAAAACTATTATTATTCAGAAAGCAACAATCCTGAAAGGTATTACAGCAGCAATACTATACTGAGAGTTCATCACTGTACTGTTCAATTCAATTGCTACCTCAGAAATACGAGATGTGAGCAAACCAGTATTCACAACTTTTATTATTATTATTATTATTCTCTCCAAGAAACAACCAAGGCAGGTAGGATGAGCAATGTAACAGAGACTAAAAACATTCTTTAGCTGAGTATAACCTGATATACGTCGCTAAGACTGAAATTTCATTTCTATTTCTCATTGCATTAACAGCTCTGGGCATTTGATGTTCCAAAAATGACTTAATTCTCATTTTCTCAGAGGTATGAGAGTACATCATACATAGATACATCCCATTGCTTCACTTATCCCTAACCAAGCACTTAACATTGAAGTGAGGCACTGAATTTTGCTATCAACTTCATTTTGCTTGAAAATAGATATGTATTTCTTTATTTCACTAAAAGGTTATAATTATATTCTTTTTACCTATGTGAAACATGAAAGAAAACCCAGTTAGAAGTTTCAGACTTAAATCTGAGAACGTTTCCAACATTTCCTCCGGTGAATTTCTTGGGACAGGATACAGCTCTGGCAAAAGCAGGTCAGACCTCACTGTTGTGAGGAGGGGAGTTTTATTAATTAATTCTAGGCTGAATTTGACCCATCGTGAAATTAAGAAGAAAGTAAAGTGCAACATTATAGGAGTTTCATTGTCACTGAGATAGTTAACACACATTTAATGTGTAGTCCTACCCTTAGGCTTCAGACAGATTTCAAGTTCTGTATTTAAAAATAAGCACTGCTTTGAACCAAGACAATAAAGAAGCCATTAGAAAAAAGTCTATTAAACACTTACCAGGAAACCTGCTATGGAGGTTGGCATCACAGTTGTATCCATTGAACTGAGCAGTCACTGAAAGCACTTTAATCGTCAGCAGGAGCAGTAACCATACCTGTTCCATCGCAAAACCTACCAAAACATTAGGTGGTTATTACACACATCTGTTCATTGCATTAAAGATGCTTGCTACAGACATTTCACCACTCAGGAGGTGATGTCTCCACCAAAGGAACTGGGGATAAAGCTCACAAGCTTATGGGAAAGAGACCGCAGGCAGCCGGGCCCATTTCTCCACTTCTGAGTAATGTGTAATTTCTATTAACTTCTACTGCTTTTAATCATAACTTGTGGCCAAAAAAAGGTACTCAAGGATGATAGAAAAGAAAAAAAATCCCTAAAATATATTAATATGTTAAGGATTGCTTAAATATTTAAACTCCAACAGCTTTTTTTGACATTTCAGTGTAAAAATTCTTTGATGAAGATATCTTAGAACAATAGTTTTATTTTAGCCAAGTCCTTGAAAAACATACAGATAAATGGTTGCTGAGTAATTCTTCGGTTCAAGGCCCTAGAATAAAAATCAGTTCATACTTATTTGCCAAAAAATCTGTTCTTTAAAGCACGCATACCATTACATTGAGCTTATGTACAGAGTTGGCATAGACACTTGCATCTACTTGAATTGTATCTGGCAGCCAGACCAGGAGATCAGAACACATGAATTTCTAGTGTCTTGACTAATTATTCCTCTTGGGAGGAAAACTTCAAGATGTAATATCTATGGTATTTAGCTCAACCAAAAAATATCTGATTCATGCTTTTGTCAAAAACATTCCAAAAAATTGAGATTTTTCTGTCTATGAATCCAAGTGTTACTGATTTTTTTATTATTTATAAGATTTTGTAATCATAGAAAATATCTCTACTGATGTGGACCTCAAATGCAGCAATGCTCTCCGTTTGAATAGAAAGGAAGTGAACAAATCTAAGGTTTGGGAGGTTTGCTTTCCCTAAGACTATAGTTACAGATATGCTGATCATCACCTTTCTCCAAGTGGACATCAAAGAACATTTGTAAACTCCACAGATACAACACACATAAATGCAGCCATATCTGGCATAGTAAGTGGCTGTCATGCATTGCTGAGGAGAGCTGGCAACAGCACACAGAGAGAAAAACATTTAAGACAAATCCTCACTCTTAACTGGATCTTTCATGGCTACTCAGCAGTCTGAGTTAAAATCTGCTCAAATTAATAGAAAGGCTTCCACTAGTTTTCAAACCAGGCTCAGAGAGCACACAAACCTGGGATTTAAAGCCTTACATTGAAAGACAGACCCATAGAGAACACTCCCAATGCTCTTTGTCAGCAAACAAACCGACTACAACAAAACACTGAGCCAAACTCTACTGAAAAGTCAAAGGTATGTCCAAATGTCAGGCCACCGACTCCTGTATAATTCTGCTTCGAAGTACATGGAATAAAAATGGAGAATTTAACATGCTAGCTTCCTGCAAAGAGAGGTGGTAGAAGCCCCATCCCTGGAAACATTCAAGGTCATGCTGTACAGGGCTCTGAGCAACCTGATCTGGTTGAAGATGTCCCTGCTCACTGCAGGGGGGTTGGACTAGATGACTTGGGAAGGTCCCTTCCTACCCAAACCATTCTATGACTCTATACATGTTTTGCAAATCAGGTATAACTTTCGCTATCGTATCCAAAAGCAGGTTTGCTAGCAAGTTCTGTACAACTTCCTCAAAGTATGACTTATAGCAACAATGCAACCTCCTTTTAGTTTCAGGTGGATACAATACTCTAAATGAAAACATTCTTTGACCCCCGACTCCCTTTTCATTAGATTCCTGTGGTGGTTGACAGCACTTGCAGCTAATGCTGATGAAGAATTGTGAAAATAAAAGAAAGAAAAATAAAATTCTTAACTGGGTTGCCATGAAACCTCTGTATGTTCATGATCTCCTCACCCTCTCCATTATTCTCAGATGGAGAAGGTGGTATTTTAGTTTGTTTACTACAAAAATTCATACTTTATTTTGAAAGAAGCATTTTTTTCCTTTAGAAAACTGGCATTTCTCCAGTGTACTGGAGCCAAACCTCTGCTTGTACAACAGTTACATCGATAAAGTGGCTATTACTGTTCTGCTGTATACGAGCTGGTTTCTGATGTCCATTACAATAGTATAAATCAAGGATAATTTACCAAGATCTCAATCTGACTTTAATTTTCTAACTGCCACAGTATTTTTTGCTACCGTAAAAACCTGTTTGAAAATAATTTAATGAAAAATGACACTGACAAAACTGTAGCTGTTATTTTAGATGAAAAGCAAAACTTACAATAAATTCTAAAATTTTAATTATTAAATTTAACTGCTGTTGTTGTGTTTCAGAGGATAGGGAGATGATTGCTAAGGAACAAAGCCAAATTAAGACATTAAGTATTTATAGCATTAGTTCTCTAGCTGTATTCAGAACAAATCAGATTTTAACAGAACTAATAATGTCCTACTTGCTTTCTGGCTATTGGCTCATCTGCATATGGATCAATATGCAGATCCACATCACCAGCTGAGCTGACTACTGCTGACTTCAGTTAAATAAGGTAGGAACATGCATTATTTTTCATTTCTTGAGAGAATTGCAGGGGTGGAAAGCACCCAGAGGCCAACCTCACTTATCTGTCCACCCCAGCCAGAATCAAGGCAGCCATTCCTACTTTTCTTAAAAGCCTCTGGCAATTTATTTCTCAACAGAAATTTCTAAAGCTTCAGTCCCTCAAATGTATAAGGTATCCTAACTGAAAGATTTGTACCATACTGATATGGCTCAACATTTAATCCAATTAAAGCAGCACAAAAGTTTTATTAAAATAGTAACATGAAAATCATAATCTTATTGCCTTGTACATGAATATGAAATGAAAATTCCATGTATGAAAAAAGGAAGGTAGTATGCAAGTGTCAGGAATAGGGTGATTTATAATCCAGAAGTCAACAAATTCATGTGGAAGGTATTTGCCTCTTTCCTTCAACTTAGTATGCAAATTCTTTAAGCCTTTTTCAAGGAATACAGCTCTTGGTGCTTTCCAAGAAAAGCACTTCTTTGGCCTAGTAGAAAACATATTTGGCTGTTAAGACAATTTTCGTGATTCCAAGGAAGCCAACACATACTGCAAGGGAAATGTAATCCTTTATCTATGAAACTCTTAATTGACAAACCCATAGCAGGTTTCACTGATGTACTGAGAGTTCTCTTCTATGTTCTTCAGACATCATCTCCTATTTTCTTTGCTGAAAGAATCTTCATCTTCAAGGATCTTAATGTTTACCTGATTTATCATGTTTTATTTATGACAATCACAATATAGTGCTTAGTCTCACTGAAATGCTCAAACCACCTCAAAAATCCTATCACTTAAATAATTTTAATTCCAATGTTTCTGCCTCCTCCCATCCACCTAAGGATCTCTTCCAAACAAGGTCTGGTATTTTCTATTTAGCAAGGGAACAGTTCTTTCCCTTGACTTCAGCACGGAGGTAAAAATCCATGTGCACGACTGACTTCCATTAACAAGAAAAGAATTTCACATGACAACTATTTCAAGCATTACTAGAACAAAAGAGCTTTAGAGGCCAAGTATAGACAAAGAGACAGTCAGGGATTTAAAGACCTATGAAACCTGGTTCATTAAATCATTTCAGAGACCATGGTTCACACAAATTTCTAAAACGATCAATTCAAAGGGAAAACAGCCCAACAGATCCAGGTTTCGATGTAGTAAAATAAGTAAATTTCCAGAATGCTGAAATAGTCAAGGTATGAATCTTTGCTGAATCAGAGTTGTATATATATGCAGCACTGAGTCACAACTGCAGGTCTTCCTGATCTGTGCTGCATATCATTGAAGAGCACAAAGAAGTAAGAGTTGCAACGTGCAGTCCTCAATTTAATGGTTATCATTTTACAAAGCCCTTATCCTCACTTTCAGAAACTTCAACATGTCAGAAAACCTGCACAAAATTTCAAAGTAAAGATATTTAGGATCTAAATAAAAGCCATTTTGCAGTCAATTTAGAAATTTAGTTTCATGGAGAAGCAATGGCTTCACCTATCTAGATTCCCTCTTCTGTCCTCTATTATCACCCAACATTCATTTATGTTCTTCACTCATTCTCTCTAAAAAAATCTTCAAAAATTTTCCATTGTGAACAGCATTCCCTGATTCAGCCCTACATTTTTATTGAAATTCATTTGTCAGTTCTGACTTCAAAGTATATTACTCATTTCAAATATTCATTCTGTGCTTTATGAGAACATCCGATAGTCTATTACTTGTTCTCTATTTTTCATTCACAAGGTGTGGCAGTTCTGCAAAATAATATGCTGATCTTTATGCCTTCTCACTGGATTGAGTTTTTTTTTTTTTAAATCGTTAATAGTAATAATGAAAACTTCTGAAAGAAAATTATAGATGTGATAAGCACATAATAAAGCTGGTAGAACATTTATAAGTGTTTTTATTCTTATCTAGTAACTGCCTAAATGCTCTCTAGCATTTTACATTAGGTTTCTACAAGTAATGGAATAGAAACATTACTACTTTTACTCATAAAAATATTTGCAAATTATCATTATATAATTCAATGAGTATTTCTCAGTCCTCTCATGACAAAATAGTTCCTTGTCTTTTTGGTTTATGTTTGGCTTACTGTCACACTTGCTTCTGCATCTGCACTGAAGTTGCAAATAGCTGTGAAGTGCGTTAACTGTACCGCTGTTAGGTCTTCCAGAAACACTTTGCTTCTAGACATGTACTAAATCATTTAACATCATTTAAAAGTAACATCATTTAAAAGTGAACAAAAACAGAAGAATACCTCTCTACCTCAAGTTCTTCAGTGGAATTTTCTCTTAACTTGTACATCCCATTGAAACAAATTATCCAGATCACGTTTTCACTATTGCTTTCCATTTTATCTCCCTGGTTCTTCTGATGCTGATAAAATAGGACTTGGATCTTTACAGTGTCCGTTTTGAAAACAAGCCTACTAAATAGTGATAATTCCCCTTTTCCAAAGGATTATTACAGAAAAAAAGGGCACCTGATGGA